GCCAACTACAAAACCGCCGGAACCAAAATTGCAACCATGCCCTGGATTTTGCCTGTTAACCATTATGGCAGCTTTCTGTGAACGGCCAAACGTAATAATAGCGAAGACTTCGACTTGTCAATCCGGATATATTTGTTGTGACAACACGAAAAGCTCGCCGCAGGTGATTCTATTTCTTTTTTACGGTAGAACCTTTTCAATGGAACGATTAAATCGAGGCAAGTAAGATATTGAATACAAAACCCATGCAAAAAAGAAAATTGAAATTATTGACATACATATAGACAATAAACGTAGTGACACCATCTTCTCCGTATCAGACACCAAGGCCAAGGCCAAGGCCCACAGCAAGACCATCAATTACTACAGTTTCTTTACCAAGGGACACACGCGCAGAGTGTCCTGGATCTTGTATTGTTTCCTATTTATCGTTCACTTGTTTCAGTAAGTATTTATTTTTATCATTTTAAAATCCAATAATATAAAATATTATAATTTGATGATAAATAAAATATTGTTGCTTGTATACAAATAAAATTCTCATTTTTTTTTTTGTAGGAAATGCCGAACTAACAAATTTGTTCAAATGTAAGAAACAAGGGCATCAGTGTTGTGCTCCAAAATCATTGATACGAGAATTGAACGGTGGAAATTCTACTGAAGCAATTTTAAGTAATAGAAACGACACTATGTATGTTACTTCAAGACCATATACAACACCACTTTCAACGTCTGTATGTAAGTTATAGAATATATATGTATAACATGAGAATAATGGTTATTAATCGTTGAAAATCACATGAAGCCACACAATAGGGTCACTAGTTGTAGTGTTAATGAAATACTCGTTGTGAGATTTTTTTTATACATTAAGAATGACTACTAATTTTGTAGATGAAACAACGACAATGATGACAACTATGAGAAGCCCTGTGTACAGTAAATACGTGTGTGGTGTAAAAGGAACTTCCCGTGGACCGATCCAAGCACGTAGTCTTGAAAGAGGAGCTCGCGTTGTCGGAGGGGAAGATGCAGATGCTAATGAATGGTGCTGGCAAGTTGCTCTGATTAATTCCTTGAATCAATATCTCTGTGGCGGTGCGCTCATTGGCACGCAATGGGTATTGACTGCTGCACATTGCGTAACAAAGTAAGCTAATTCTGAATCTTAATAGAATTTACTAATTTCCCAAAATTTTGTAAAACATTGTAAACTTAAGAATAAATATTTTAAGTAATTATATTATTTTATTTTTATTTATAGCATTGTAAGGTCTGGCGATGCGATTTATGTAAGGGTAGGTGATCACGATTTGACAAGGAAATACGGAAGTCCTGGTGCTCAAACTTTGCGAGTAGCAACCACTTACATTCATCACAATCATAACAGTCAAACTCTTGATAATGATATAGCACTATTAAAACTTCATGGACAAGCAGAACTTAAAGATGGTGTTTGTTTAGTATGTTTGCCTGCACGAGGGGTTAGCCATACAGCTGGTAAACGATGTACCGTCACTGGTTATGGATATATGGGAGAAGGTAAGTTTCTTGTATCGTTTATCAACTCTTTTTAAATACTACATTTGCAAAATTTAGGAGAATCTTTTTTTTTTACCCATTAAAATATATTTTGTATGCGTGTACATAGCTGGTCCTATCCCGCTTCGTGTTCGAGAAGCGGAAATACCAATTGTAAGCGACGCAGAATGCATACGAAAAGTGAATGCTGTAACTGAAAAAATTTTCATTTTGCCAGCAAGTAGTTTTTGTGCTGGTGGCGAACAAGGCAACGATGCATGCCAGGTAACATTAATTATGCTTTACATGTACATATATTATACAGAAAAATTTCTCTACCCAAAAGAGCAGGTTCTGTAGTTGATTGTAGACAGTACAACGAATGCTAGTGATAAATTTTAATTTATTAATCAGGTACAATTAAATTAGTTAGTAAAACTAATTAAAAACAGAACAATAATAAGAATATAACAAGAAAAGTTAAGTAAATAATATTTGATAGGGCGATGGAGGAGGTCCTTTAGTATGCCAAGATGATGGATTCTACGAATTAGCTGGATTGGTATCATGGGGCTTCGGTTGTGGAAGATTGGATGTTCCTGGAGTTTATGTCAAAGTTTCGGCGTTCATTGGTTGGATCAATCAAATTATTTCCGTAAATAATCTTTAGCTTTTTTATGTTCTACTAATAAAAGTTAAAGTATTTATTTATTAAGAAAACATTATAGTACCTTTACGCGCTTGATGACGTAACATCTCGTGTGTTACGTATCCAGCAAAGATAACTAAGAAAAATTTTCTTAAATATTATTTAATTATATAAATTAAAAAATGTGAAAAAAAAGAGAAATCTTTTTGTAAAGGAATGTTATTTTGAAAATATTACGATACTCGTAATATATTTATAAAGATCGTAATAAATAATAATTAATTACCTTTAATAATTAAAGGTAACTAAAAATTTGTTTTAGCAATATAATTTTATATAATTAATGCAGTAAACTTCCGTTTATCCAATATTTTGAATTATTTGAATTATTATCCATTGTATATTGAATTATCTTTGCCAAACATAATAAATGTCTATAATTTTGTAAGCTTTAGCATTAAAAGATTTTGGTAAATAAAAGTCACATACTTTTAAAATATCAAACAATAAATGTAATTTTTGAGACATTAATATCAAGAGGTAAATAAATTTTATATTTGTTAATTATTTATGTATATGTTTTACAAAATTTTAATAAATTGTAGTTATTCAAATATAATTTTATAATATAAAAAAAACGAAAGTTTATTGTATCAATTAATAGAATTAAAATTTTAATATCATTGGTAAAAAATAGATATATTAAGTTTAATTTATGATTCTCTTTTGGTAATCGTGCCATCAAGTGCGTCAATTTTAGACAAAAAATGCTGTCTTACATAAAGATTTTTAGTTAATAATGAAAATTATAAATTATAAAATTATTGGTAAATATAAACTTACTTAAAAATATTAATTAAAAAGTTATATAGAAGTACAAAATATTCAAACTTTGTGAAATATTAAATATAAACTATAGAATATTATTATTTATTGTAATATTTTTTTTATTTTTCAAGAATTTTAACAAGTAGATTAAAAAGTAAATCTATTATTATGTAAAATCTATAATAGATTTTAAATAGTTTCAATGTTCAAATAAGTAGAAGTATGTATCATTTTATTGCTTATTTTAGCAACAGAAAGATAAAACATAAAATCTCTTAATTTTGATTTTCCTTATATCTTTACCACCAATTTTATGGTTAATTTATTTATATTATATATGTCATTTATTTATATTAAATGACATTACAAATGAAAGTCAATTTCATAGAAATTAAAGCATTCTTGTTAAGGCCAAAATATAGTGATACTGAATTACTGTAATAAAAAATATACATATTTAAAATAATAATAATAATTTTGATAATCTTTAATGATAATTTATATAAAACATTGTAATTGATATAACATGTATGTATGTATGTTTATTTTTATTATTATACATATGTATATTTATAAGGTTTATGAAATTGGTTCTTTATTATATATATATATATATATATAGTGTGTATTATATATATATAATACACACAACACATACACATTGTGTAGATTCAGAATAGTTGGGGACAATAATATTATATTGCTTTGTACATTATTGCTTCATTCATATGTATCTTCCAAGATATAATTATAAGAATGTTTTATTGATTTAAGAAAGAATGAAATATTAAATGTGAATATAAAAGTTAGTTATTAAGTGCTTTAAATCTATAAAACATTACTGTAAAAAATTTTTGACAATTCAACATAAATATTATGTACCTTTAAAAAATGGATATTATTTTATTACAAATATAAATTTTTTATTGCAAATTAATATAAAATTTGTTATTTATTATAAGCTTAATATCGATCAATAATAAACAGTCTGAATACTTTTTCTTATAAAAATTATTTCACGATCCATTTAATAATCATAGCTTTTTCTTTATTTCATTCCAGTAATATTAATTTATTATTCATACAATACTATAAATAATTACATATCTTCTAATTTAATAATCAAGCAATTTATTTATATCATTTATTAGTATTCTGTAATAGTATTAAAAATTATATGCATATTATATTATAGATTTCACATTGCATTGAAAATTAAGAACTTAAAGATAAATTAAGTTAAAGTTTAATTTAGAATAGTATGTATTTTTAAATGTTGATGCTTTTGAAAGACATCAAACATTTTTAAAATTGTTATTATTTTTGTTTATAAAATAAATAGTTATTATTAGTATTTATTTTTATTACAACAAAAATTATATATTATGTACCATCATTTAGAATAATTAGTTGAATTGTAGCTTGTAATTAATTATAAAATAAAAACATTAAATAGTATTAACATTTAAATATGTAATATATATAAAATAATCAAATAAATTGTTAAATTTATTTTTTTGGCAAAATAAACAATAATAAATAATAGTTACTAACAATATTGTCAACTATTTTACAGGAAACAACAATATACATATATTTAAATTTCTTTATATTGAAATTTACATAAAAAATTATATTTTAATAGAAAAACTAGCACCACAACTGCAACCTTGTTCAGCTAAAGGATTATTAATTATTCTAAATGCGGAACGTATCAATTCTGTATGATACTCTATTGTTGATCCTTTAATATATTCTAAAGATGTTGTATCTATAACTACTTTCGCACCATCTTTTTGAAATATTCTGGAATATATCATTATATGTAATTATCTTTTAATAACATTATAGTTGCATAAATATTTGAATTACTTTTATGACACTTACTTATCATTTTCATTTATATTTGTATCCAAGTCAAATTTATATTGAAAACCAGAACAACCTCCACCTTCTACTGTAACTCTTAAATAAGCATCATTATTTGTAATTTCCTTTAAACGTTGAACACAACTATCTGTAATGATGATATCACTTTTGGAATCTGGTATATTTTCTGTTATTGTTTTATTTAGTAATGAATCTGTAGACACATTGTACCACTGAGAACTATGGGCAAAAATTCATTTCCAGTTCATTGCAAAATAACATTGTTAGAAAGTGTATAGTATAAATTCACATTTACTGTTAAATTTGGTTTCTTCTGAATCTCATATTTTAGAAGCAAATTGAAATTGTTCCGTTGGAAAAAAAGTTCAAAAATAAATGCAACATAAATTAATAAAAAATTTTAGTTGAAAACTTACGTTAATAAACGTGAGAAATATCGATTTGCAACAAAATTTGAAGAAACATTCCAAATCGTGTGTTTCAATTTCGCCATGTTTCTAATGTGTATCTGTGTGTGCGACAGTCGCAAATATACAATATAGTAGATGCAAATAAAATATTTATTTGACAAAAATAAATTTGCTATCTAATTCATACAATAGACAAAGAAAACATCTTGAAAAATTAGGAAAAATCCTTAATTAATAAATATCAGTTAAAATATCATCCCATTAATGTGTTAATATTATATGTATTCATAATTACATTTATTAGTGTAAAATAAGGAAAATTGATAGAATAATTTACATGTTAATATATTCTAATATTAGATACATCACTATTATATTATATTTTAAATACGTATAATTCGCGTTGGATATTTGCCTTAAAAGCCAATATAACATTGATAAATTAGCATTCCAAGTGGCCAGATGTAGTACTACACATTTCAAATTTTTTGATAGTCAAATCGTAACGAACATTTGCGTCATTTTTAAGAAGCAAGTGTAATTCGTATGATATACAAAACGGGATCTTTGAAAAGAAATAACGAAAAATCATAAAGATAAGATAAAAGTCTACCAAAAGTTTCACTTCAACAAAAGTCAGTATAATTTAACTAATAAAAATGAATGATACACGTTGTGGAAGAAAACCTGGTCAACAGATACAGGTATTTGTTCGTGTTAGGTGAGTAATACAATTTTTCTTTTAATTATTATTTCAAGAGATTACCAGTTAAAAGATTCAAAATACAGAAAGTAAATTATACTTTACTATTAATTGTTTTATACTTTAATGTTTAGCATACACATTGCGTTTATTTTATTAGAATATAATTTATTTTTACATAAAAAGCATATTCTTCACTGTCTTATTTTTCAATTTTTATTTTCTTAGACCCCTCAATAATTCTGAACAAAATCTTCAATCTACAACTGTATTGGATATTCCAAATAGCAAAGAGATAACAGTACATGAGCGTCCAAATGATAAAATTTCTAAAAAGTTCAGGTTTAATAAAGTGTTTGGGCCTTTGTCAAAACAGGTACATATTTGTGATTAATCTTTTTATGCTCTTGGCTACATATGAAAATGGTTTTATTTATATCTTGTTTATATCCTATAATTTATATCTTATAAAAATGCTATTTCATAAAATCATTACAAAAATAAAATTAAATTAAATTTCTTTGTTATAACTGGAATTAAAAATTTGTCCCTGAAGAGATTATTAAACACATATATTTAAAGAAATAACAGTTTACTACATATTTTTAACTGACAGATTGATGTGTATAATAGTATTGTTAGTCCATTATTGCAACAAGTTTTGGCTGGATATAATTGTACAGTATTTGCATATGGTCAAACTGGTACTGGGAAAACATACACAATGGAAGGAATTAACATTGATCCAACTTTACATTGGAATAGTGTAAGATATTTCCTACATTTATTCATACGCATAATGTAAAATTTTAATTATAAATAAAATGATAAGAAATTTATACAAAAGTATAAATAATGTTTCTAAAAAATATTCAATAATAAATTATATGTATAATGGTGTAATCTAGAGGATAATAAGTAATAGTGATAACAAAACAAATCAGTTAGTAAAAATAAATTTAATAATTATATAAAGCATAAAGTAAAAGAAATTAATATGATATAAAAATGTAAAATATGAAAGAATATTATTTACATTTATGTGTATTCTAGGATTCATCTGCTGGTATGATACCACGTTCCCTAAATCATTTATTTTACAAATTGCAATTATTAGAGATACAAGAATACACAATTAGAGTTAGTTTTCTTGAACTCTATAATGAAGATTTGTTTGATCTTTTATCAACTAACAGTGATGCATCTAAATTGAGGTATGTAATACAAGTTTTCTTTTAAACCAAAAAAAAAAAATGTTTAAATATTTTGACCAATTTTTTCATTTAATTGAATAGATTGTACGAAGATGCATCGAAGAAAGGTGCAGTAATTATACATGGATTGGAAGAAATAACAATACACAACACAAGTGAAGTTTATAAAATTCTTAAGAAAGGAGCAGATAGAAGGCAGACAGCTGCAACATTGATGAATGCTCAATCTAGGTTATTCCTCTATCATTTTTTTTTTTTCATAATTGTTCATGATGTATGCTTATAAATATTTTGTATATTATATTTTGTATATTATATAATTTTATGTTTTGGAATATATTATTTAGTTCAATATTTAAATATAATTACAGTCGGTCGCATACAATATTCTCAATCACTATACATATGAAAGAAAGTACTATTGATGGTGAAGAGATTCTGAAAACAGGAAAATTAAATTTAGTGGACCTAGCAGGCAGTGAAAATGTTGGAAGATCTGGCTCTGTTGACAAGAGAGCAAGAGAGGCTGGTAATATAAATCAGTCTTTATTGACTCTTGGTAGAGTCATAACTGCTCTTGTTGAAAGAGCACCTCATATACCTTATCGGTAATAAATATTTTGTCTTTAAAAATGAAATCATTAATATAATTTGTTATATTATTTTTTATGTCATATAGGGAATCTAAGCTTACAAGATTACTGCAGGAGTCATTAGGTGGTCGTACAAAAACGTCGATTATTGCCACTATATCACCTGCTTGTATCAATCTCGAAGAGACATTATCAACGTTGGATTATGCACATCGTGCAAAAAATATCACAAATCGGCCAGAAATAAATCAGAAACTTTCAAAACGAGAATTTTTAAAACAATATACAGAAGAAATTGAAAAACTGCGAAGAGATTTATTAGCTTCACGTGATAGAAATGGTGTTTATCTAGCGGATGATAATTATAAAGAAATGCAAACACTAATTTCACAACAGACTAAGCAAATAGAAGAAAAAATTAATCATATAAAAGCGCTTGAAAAAGCTATGCGAGATAAAGAGGTACATTTTCACTAATGAAGAAAGTTTTGATATTTTTTTTCTACACTTTTTAATTCGTTTTTTTGATATATACTTCTTTTTTTTAGAAAATTTTTTATGAACTTGAATTACAAAATATTACTCAGACGAAAGAATTAGATGAAGTCAAGATCAAATTAAATAATATTACTGATGCTCTACAGTCGACAAACTGTCGATTAAAATTAACAACGCAGGAACGAGATGAACATAAATATTTAGTAGAAAAACATATGAATACAGAACAATCTTTATTGAATCAAGGTCATACTTTATTAAATGTTGCAGATACAGCAATAACAGATTCACATAAATTACATGATAAAATTGATCGGAAAAGGTTTGTTGATTACATTTATAACTTTTTACAACTACATAAAATGTACGTTAATTTTGTAAATTTGAAATGTATAAAATATCTTTTCGTAGACATAATATTTTATATTTTATATGTTATTTCATAATAAAATAATTTTTTATTGTCTTCTTTCTTTCAAGTAAAACAGAACAAAAATTTGAAGTCCTTGGTAATACCTTAAGAAGCAATATTTGTGAATATGTACAAAATATAGAAAAAGATATATCTACGTATGGTGAAAAATTGAAGGAACTGTTTACGTCAATAAAAAATGACCTTGGTAATAAATGCTTTCCTTTATAGGAATCTGTGTGTATATTTTATTTTATTAACTGTTATTTCTATCGTTTCTGTTGTATAGAAATTTCTATCAAATCTAATACTGTCGACATAGCAACACATCGAAACGCAACAAGTAATCCGAATCAATCTGATATTACTAACTTAACAACAAATATAAATGAATCTGTATGTATTCGTTAATTTTTACAGTTACAAATTTTATTCCTTTTTTTTTTTATCTTTAATTATAAATGTTTATTGTTTACTTTTACGTTACTAACGCCATAGCATACAGAATATCAGAATTGGATACAAAATGAAATAAGAAATATGGTTGGCATAGTAGAATATGAACATGAATTAATCAGTGTTATTCACCAGCGATTGATTCAAAGCATGAACAATAAGATAGAAAATGTAATAACTAAAAACCTTCAGGTCATGAGGAATAATGTCTTTGAAAAATTGACACAAGCTTCAATTCGTTTAAAAGAAATGATAGATGCTTCCTGTAATTATGAATTAAAAATTAACGATCATATGATTGAAAATGTCAGAAGTATTATGAAAGACATTGAAGTACTTCGTAACAAACAGAAATTTAGTGAAAAACAACATTTACTTGCCGAAGTATATAAGAATATGATTGTATTATTATATTATTTCGATTTCGGAATTTTATAAAATTATTATTTTTTAGACGATACAAAATGTATTTTCGCAGTTTAACGAATTACATAAAAGTCAAGAAGAGCATTATTATGCTGTAACTGATAAATGTAATTATGTTAATACAGTTTGTAATGAAATTAACAACCAAGCGATAAATAATTCTAATATGAATGTTAAAATGAGAAATGATTTAAAGGATTACATACAAAATGATATAAAGAAAATTGAAAATAATGTTCTTGTTAGAACAAAACAGGTAATTTTTGTGTACTTTTTATATAAATAAAAAAATGATTTTATTTCTTCATTCTTAACAAGGAAAATATTTATATTTGTTTCTAATATGTTGTATTTTATTTTGTTAATAGAATGAAGAAATTGCAAACAGAATTACAAACCAGAAAGAAGAATTGATAAATGAATTAAAGTCAAATGTGAATGAAAATTGTAATGCATCAATGCAGTATAAGAATACTATGGAAAGTAGTATGAAAGAAGAAGGATTGAAAATAGATGCAGATAAGAATACAGCCCTTTCGTTAATTAATGTAAATTTATAGGATATGTTTAATTTAATCTGTTATAAAATATCAAATATTAACAAAAGTAATATGTTTATAGGATGCAGATGAAGTAATTTCAGATATAAGTAAAAATCATGCAAAATTCGTAGAAGATAAAAAGGTGAAAATTGAAAATGTGTGTCTAAGTATATCTGCTCAATTAAAAAATCAAATAATGGAATCATGTATGCAGAATGATAATGTTATTGGACACTTAC